TTTGTTTTTTACCCATCCTCCTCTCCCTTCCCCAAAGCCTTTATGCACCGATTATCTGTTGTTGCCTTTTTAAACTTTTGTACGTTTAGTCGCCCACACAAAGCAGAAAACTATTCTTTATTCATTTCAAAATTGCATAAGAAGCATCAGCTTTATGTTTATATCAGTGGCCTTGAAGTGAATTCGAATATAAATATAGGATGACCCTGACAAGCGCGTTTGAATGCTATTCAGTGCTGTGATCAGATTTCAGGGTTTTGACAGAACAATTATATGCTGGCTTGAAATATTATCTCGGAGATTGAGAACAATCGAATTGTGAAGACCAAGACACGTGGCTATCACATACTTGTGTTGCTATCGTGGTGAAATCAGGCACTCGTCAGAAAGATGAAATTCGAAAAAAAAAATGGCATCTTCCCTCTCGTTGGGCAACTTTCATCCATGTTTTTTCTCAAAACCTGTTATATCCATTTATAAACACATATTTGTGCAAGATTTACTGAATAAACGTTGATCAAAGGCACAAAACATGTAAATTTGCAGCTGTCAAGGACCCTTACTTAAGCTTCGGAAGAAAGCAATCTTGGCCGCCATTTTCTTGCTAACTTTACCTCTGACACTGGGCCAACTCCAACCTCCTTTATTTGCAAATATCTCAGTTCCTGTTCAAGAGTGATTAGTATTTTATCATTAAAAGCAATGCAAAATAATAAAAAATCAGATTACATCAATAACTCCATATGCTCAAAATAATCGGTGAGCGCCTGATTCTAGCGTGTTGTGACACCATATTTTTTAGCATGCGTCCAGACCAAAAGCTGCTAACCGAGCAGATCACCTCAGCTAGCTTCGGAGCACCGTTGCTCAGTAGAGCTCAAGTGTTCAGACCCGAAAGCAATAATAATTACCTATCGTCGTAGCATCTCGCTCACGGGTGGCTGGACGGACGCTTGTATGTTCACATCAAAATCTACCATGCTGATGCACACGATGACCGCGAGTTTCAGTCATCTGCCATGTTGGAAGTATAGCAAACTTTTCCACCGTTCACGCAAGCTTCGAGCTTGTACACAAATAATTGTGTTCCCAAGAGCAGTGGCTTTTGTGTGAACATACAAGCGCCCGTCGAGCATTGGTAGAGCAAGCTGCAAGCCCAGCGCAAGCATCTTACGAGCGGCAATTGCTTTAGTCTGAATACCTGAGCTGAGATGTTCGGCTCGGTTAGTAGCGTTTGACCTGGACGCCGCCTTAGTCCTTAAAAACGAGATAAACTCTGCTACTAGCTTCAGCTGCAATACATGTATTATTTGTCACAATACCTCAATGTGGGCACAGACAAAATTGTGCGGCCAGTGTGCCACCTTTGATGTGAACAGTTGGAATAGAAGGATAATGCATAATTTTGGCTGAACTATAGGACAGCGACGTCTCAGCTCAAAGTTTTGGTGTAAACCCAGCCTTAAGCCAGGAAATTTAAAACTTGGATCATGTATGCAAAGCTGTAACGAAATAAATATTGATCTGTTGAAGCAAAAAGACGGAACAAACTCGACACACAATTTTCTTAACCTGGCTAGGGGTGGGTCAATAACCTAGGCACGGCCGGGAGATGCGAAAGAGTAAACAGTGTATTTGTGTGTGTGTGTGTGTGTGTGGTTTTTTTGTCCTCGTGTAAGTGTGTGTAAATGTGTGTGTCTGAGAGTGGGGAAGGAGCAACAGAGAGGCAGATAGATAGGTAGATAGATAGATAGATAGATAGATAGATAGATAGATAGATAGATACAACTTGATGTGCAGCAACTTAGCATAAAAACTTTGAGGCAAAAATGGGCAGCTTTTCAAGCATCCAAAATCCCATTGAGGCGTGGTCAGAGTCTAATATGCGCAAATTGCTTGCAAAAGTGCAAACCATGGTTGTGAATAAAATGATGTCTTCCACACTCTCTCCGTCTCTGTCTCTGTCTCTCTCTCTGCCTCTGTCTGTCTGTCTGTCTGTCTGTCTGTCTGTCTGTCTGTTTGTCTGTCTGTCAGTCTCTCCCTCTCTCTCTCTCTCTCTCTCTCTCTCTCTCTCT